GCTAACCGCTGAACATTGACCTCGTAATGCTCCCCCATGTCGTTCAAGGTCAACTTGACTAAGTAGGGAGGAGAACAGATCGTTCACCAAAGGCTACTTTTTCAGTAACGGTACACATAAAATTTGATGAATTTTGAAGACGACTAGTTTTATTGGCTCACGCTCAAAGCAAGTGTCGATTCCAGTGGAACAACGTCGTGAATGAATACCGTTAATCGCAACCTTGAAAGGTCACACGCTTGTAATCCTCCAGTGATGTTCGGCTTTCGAGACATCACTCTCTGACCGTTGAAGTTGATGGGACCTGGTTTTGTCACATCCCGAAAGGTTCAGCGAAATGGTAAGTCATGCCAAACCTTCAAACTAGTTATATCTTCAGAGGGTCTGAATCAAAAAGTAGGCTCAAGCTCAGATCGGCCACCAATTCCCAACTTCAATTTATCAGTTCCAGTCACCAAAAAATTCCAATCATGACTGCTCATCAATTGGGCTGCATCAGCATAAGTATACGTCACACCACCCTCACACCCATTCAGCTCACAACTCATTTGCTCGCTTCATTATCAAATCTTTAACCTTCAGCGACACGTAGAACATAGATAATGAGTCCAGAAATAATTAATTCTGGATGATGAACGGATGCTTCGGAATATGGGACGATCTATCATCCACGTCACGATTAGTGAGTCCATCATTAGGTCGGAAGCGAAAAAGATGTAACTGACATCTGTGTGCAATAACTGAAGCGAGTCCAAAGGCGACTACACACTCGGATCACTTTATTTTGGAGGATGTCTACTGCAGTAAGAACATGCCTACTCAAAACTCCCTCTGCACGGCCTGTGATAGATTCTACTTCTATTTGCCGTAGCAGTGGCACTTTCTGCGGTATACGTTAACGGTTAGGGAAAGCATAACGATGTTTAGGTAAACTGTCTTAACTCTTAAAGCTAAATCCATCATCAACCGATCGATATGAAGTGGGAGTGGAAGGGCCGTCCTAAATAAGTTCGATTCAAAGGTAGCGCACGAGAAGTATGAACGCTAGTTACTATAACGCCACGTCTCTCAAATCGGATAAAGGCTTGACAAACAGGAATCGGAAAGTGATTCAAACAACAACATCAATGAAGGAACGGAGGTACGTTCTACAAAACAGTGAAGGAATCTAATGAAAAGGCAGACTTTTACCCAAGTTTCGACCAGTGACTTGATATCGGAGTGAGAAATCATTGAGATGGATTACTGTGAGTTCTTGTGGCGAAAATGGCTTGTGAAAGTTTCTTGGAATGGAAGCCAGTGTTTTAGCCCTTGCAGGCTGTACTGTCATCAACACCAATGTTCAGTGATCAACCGCAGACCAAAGAGCATGGTAAGGCTGAGCTGATTTCAAACAGCGATCTGCTCTCCCAACCACGACAGGAACAACGCTGACTCACCCGGAAATAGCAGGATTTCCGGCAAGGGTAGGAGGCAGAGTATCATGCAACGGCTGTTACTTTCCTGCTGTAGCTTGAATGGGCATTCAAAGTTCATTGCTTACTGAATTAGGGGCAGAATGCGAAGGGCAATCATAAGCAAAATTGATCAGCATTTTTAAAAATTTTTATGTTTTTTTTTTGATTTCGAGAAAAATCCAAAAATCAAGCCAGATAAGAAGTTAATAGCGCCAAGTTAAAATTTTCCCGAGAAAATTCAAGCTGAGCTCCTCAGCAATAAAATGATGTGGCTCGTTTGAAGGAGCAAGTGGAAAGAAACTATGAAAAAAGTGAACAGGGACGTGTTGATCAGCTTTGGTGACAAAATTAAGATCCCCTACATTCCTAGCATCTTAACAATCCTCTGAGGAAGGGGTATTTACACTTGAGTGCATAATAGTCACTGTGAAGAGTTCTGTTCCAGAATGTTCGCCGAACGCTGCGTCACAGACGACATTTCGTCCTAGAAGATGTCAATTTGCTTCAATACGAACGGCTAGGTTCCTACTGACTGGTTCCTTGTGTTCCTGTAGAAGGTTCAGTCCTCGTTTACCGCTCATTCTTTCCATTTTACTATAATGTTGAGGGAGATGTAGAAACGTTTATGAGCCGACGCATTCCGCATTCAGAGGCATCCAGGCAGAGGGGAAAAGGGATATGTGGTGGACTCACACCGTACTGACCAGGCTTTTGATTTAAGTGGAATAAGTGTTGTAGCAGTATTCCTTGCTACCACTCCAATTCCATATGTGCTGTACGAGCAACCGATACGAAACGGAAAAATTAGAGCTTGATAACATCAACTCAGGAAAGGTGGAACCAGCGTTCGAGGGTGACAACGCTTTACGTCACCTGATTTTTTGGGTTCCATCAGAACGAGTAATATATGGGTAGGTGAGAGTCGTCCTTAGAAGCAATCAGAGTTGCTTGGATAGATTCTAACCCTCAGTCGAACGAAATAAGCAAAAGTGTGGACCCCTCAGTGAATAAATCAAGCAAACTCTCAGTAGTAGTGATAGTTTCTATCGGAAGAACCGTCACGAATCGAGGTGATTGAGTAGCAGAAGTCATCTGTCTCTCGTTAGAAACTTGTCGCCGGAAACGGAGAATGCGTGAGTGGTACAGCTGAAGCAGAGGAACTCGGTGGGTGTGGGGTGAGTTTACGAGGAATCCACGGAGTGTAGGGTTATTATCGTGCCAGCCTTTCATTAGTTCCGTTCATGCTAAACATCGATGAAGTGATGGGCTCGTTACCAGAAGTGCGGAAGTAATTTGAAACTGTGGCGATGAATGGCTTTAAGCAAAATTCGGCAAATACGAATTGGCTGAGGTCGTTTCACGAAATTCTGAGATTCGTACTTCACGGTGTTGTCTCTGATGGAAGCAAAAACGGCTTCATTACAAGGTTTGCGTATGCAGCCCATAGAGCTCCATGTCCTGGTGAATTGGTTGGATTCACCGGATTACTCAATGTACTTGTTTATCACCCCTTTTCATTTCCTAATTCTGAAGTCAACATTAGCCAGTTGGTCATCGTGCTCTATGGAGGTACGAAGACGAGGGAGTTTGGCAATTAACCAACGAGGCCCTCACTTGATGACGTTTTGAACTCGTTCAGAGACCAAATTACTAAAGCCTGACAACATGCCACCTACTCACGACTGATTCTCGAGGGAGTGAGGATGGTAAGAGGAATAAGCTTACTGGACCCAAAATACCACATGTGTGGTAAAAATAAAACGGTGCATCCATCGGGGAGGATAAAATACGTAACAGCTTCGACAGAACGCCAACTGATCGCCCTTTAATACTGGATTGTTGATGATCCCGAAAATTGATCAGCATGGCAAAAGCTACAACTCTTCACTACCTTTGTCCGAAAGTTTCTATAAGGGCACGCTGTCCAAGGTTAAAGGGTGAAGCTTCTTACGTGCATTCCTGGTTTGGCCACTCATGACATCCATTAAGCATTTAAGTAACGTTTTGATGAGTAGTGGACCTTACAGAGGACTTGTGGAGTTTGGAGAAACTCCTACCTTCTAAGGTTAACCATTGTCAGAGAGTAGGGAACAAACGTAGAAGGGTAACGAACCGGAACTTTCCCCTACATTCAAAGTGGTTATCCACAAAGAAGCCAAGCTGTTTCCACAAACCAGTTCTGAAGATTTTCGCTTCCTGAGAAGCCAAAAGAGTTCTACATCTGAAAATTGAGAGGCCGATTATTAGTAGACTGAGTAAAGTGGGAACGGATGAGTAAGAAGTGGCCTCTAAAACTAAAGTGTGCCTATGAAAAACAGTAGGACCGGATAAAAAAGAATTAGCGAGGTGGGAGACTTTCAGTCCGCTTTTTTCTTGCGAGGGGGCGGGATCGCTACTTTTCTTCTGCTCTGGAGATGAGATGGCAAATGTAGCTGAGGGAAGCCACTTTTACAAAAAGTTATGACAGAAAATAGGATTAAGCAGTGCGCTAGAGTGAAGGTGTCTTTCACTGCAATGAAACTTGCAGCATGAAAGGTCCCTTTTACCTTTCCCCGCAGACAAGGGCAGATCAGTTCATATCTTCTCTTCATCTCAGTTTTCCCAATAGGCCACTATATATGGTCCTCTACTTCTGTATAGTTGTACCTAAAGATGCATCGCGCAGTATAGAAGCAGAGAAGGGATGAAGGACTCGGGAGAGAGCCATGTATGGTAGTTGATAGAAATTGGCAACAATCTATAAAGGCAGTTAGGAGCCGCTCACAAAGAAGAGTCGCCTCATTCCATCATATTCGTCACAATACCTGGCTGTCTCTCTGTCTGTGATAAATGTGATAAACAATGAAAATATCAGCTATGCTTTGGGATGAATAATAACGAAGACGAGCAGGGTTATAAATATAACAAGGGTATATGTAAAATGTGTTTTTAATTAGTGGATAACGATAACGTAACATCGATGGCAATGGTTAGAACTCAATGTCTAGAGGCCCAATGGCTTGGCACATGTCAGTCTGATCCTAATAACAATAAAGAAAAGTCTGAGCCATCGCTTCCCTCGTGATGCACACAGACGACAACGGTGTCTTTGCGTCGACTGTGTACCTATCTCAAAAAGGGAACAGACAATAACAGACGAAAGGAGCAGACATCGGCAACCGTCGAAGCTAACGACATATGAGTAGCTCAGTTCGGTAGTGCTAGTTGTACCCACTGTGTGAAGCATTTGATAAGCTACTCGAATGGCGTCTTCTTGTTCTGGCAGTGTAATGACAGCAGTTTGCACCCTGTCGCTTTAGCAATTCAGCCTCTGTTTGGTTTTATTTTATCTTTTACTTTGTTACTCCATAACCGTTTTGCATCCAGGACAATTTCGTAAAATGGATTTCAAAGGATGACCAGTGATCTCCTAACTTCACTTGTCGTAGTATCAGCAAATGGAGAGAATCACAGAAACCAATTATCGTCGACGCACGGTCGATCGAACTTGCTTCTTACATTGATGATTGTCGTCAAAATAAATCAACAATGTCTTCTACTACTTTAATATCCGCAGTAGTCTTCAATGCACTGGCTGCCTGCATCCATTGTGCTTTGCACCTTAGCCACACGCTTGGAGTTTGTTGGACTGTACCATTGAGTGTCATCTTCCTTGCTGTTGAACTGAAAATGACAGTCAGTTAAAATAAAATAAATTGAAAAGAATATGATAAATATAATACAGGAATTTGAAGTGACCATGTCACTGAGTGCACGGTAAGGCTTTCTCTTGCAGACCATTTACTAAAAAGAAATTCACAAAGAAGACATCGATTGACGCTTCAAAAATGAAGCCTCCGAATTGGATGAGCTAGTTCAGAGAACACAACACTGGCTAAACTACCCGCTTCCTCACACTATGAAGGTGCTCTTGAGCTAGTGGAGGTGTTGCTGTGGAAAGTGACGTCACTACAATGCGCGTAATGCGAGGAACTAATAGGAACTCATTCCAGCTACTCCACTTACAATGTCTACGTGATGATCGTAAACGAAAGGATGGATTTATTTTGCTGACCACGATGTCGGAGGAAATCAGACCAAGCAAGCTGCTCAAACTACTAGCAGAAGTTATGGGTTCACCTGGCGAGAGGCTTCATTTTACACTAGTTCTTGAATGGTTAGCCTTTATAGGACAAGTACCACCTACCCGGAAAGTCTCACATTTTCTGCATTTTTTCATTTGTACCTCATCATTTTTCGTTTATTCTCTGAGAGCGTTAGAACGCAGAGATGTTTCGTAAAGATTATTCCCCTTGTAATAAAAGAACATCACATCATTGCTTCTCACCTGATCGTCGAGCTGCTTGTAGTTAGTCGTGTCAGATGTTCTATGCCTACATTTATTCTTATAGAGATTCTGCAATACGTTTGTAAACTTGTGAATGCAGTAGGAACATTGAATTTCTCCTCTTTATTATGCTCACAGTAGCTTTGTTCATTCGTTGCACATTCCCTGACACTTGACGAAGAGCGTCCCGATCGAATGTGAAGCGACGCAGTTTTCGAAGAGATTTGGACACTTTCCTGTGATAAAACAGTTCAATTGTATGGTAGTTTGCAGTTCTATTGTGATTACAATCACGTTTCTGGGACGCATTCTTCATTCGACTTCCACTCAGAATCGGAGTGCCAGATCGATTTTGGGGCCAGCTGATGTGAAAGTCTATGGATCCATCCTCTCGGAAGAATCTCGCACTGATTGAACAACTCTGGACGAAAGGGATTCATTTCAAGGATCATGGATGTCATAGAGTGCGCCACGTTTGTTGGCAGTACCTTCACCGAGAATATAATCCCTACCAAAAGCATTGCAATCAACCTTTGAGGTAAAAACTGGAAAATAGTAGAGCAGTAAAAAACAAGTGGCGTACTTTCTAAATTTATGACTCTTTCAAAAAATCTTCTTAAACCCCGTGTAGTTTGTTTGGAAGGATAAATACTGCCACATTAACATTCTTAGTTACCCCTATGGGCAATGTTCGTGCCTAAAAAGTGTCAAATTGTACCGCGATCCTGAATGGAAGTCGAGTGTATCGAACTCCCCAAGGGGGAACGTACAGTCAGTTGTTTTATTGTTTATCACCTCGAACCCGTGGGAGAAAGGATTTTCACCTGTAAAGCTTGGAGTTCTTCTTGTTGCGTGTTTCCTTCTCCATCTTGTCCAAAGTGCCTGCACAGGCGTCGATCGAGTACTTCAATAATCAATTACTTTATTTTAGTTGAGTCGGACTCGCTATTTTGAACAAAAGTAACTGCACAGTACCTGTACATATTCATTGGTAGGAATATCAGGAACACTTGGTGGAAGATCTAAATAGTTTGATATGGTGACGAATACAGAAGTCGGCCAAATTGGTGTAAATAGTTACAAACCTGGTTTTGGAGGATAAATAATAAGCGTTACAGGAGGTTGATATCGTGTCGGAGGTGGAGTCGGCGGTGGCAAGTAACGAGTGGTTTGATATACTGGTGGCGTAGGAGGACCATAGTCGATTGCTATTTCACGATATTAAGTCCAAGAAATCAAAAACACAACTTAATTGAGCCACCTTACCTGGAGGGCCTGGTGGTCCCGGTGGGGATGGTGGGAATGGAGCAGGGTTGTATGGTGGCAAAGTAAGTGAGGGAACATAGATAGTGGGTGGAGGTGGTTTCGGTGCAGGTGGCTGATACTGAAAACTTGTGCAGTGAGGAGGTAGGATTTGGAAGTAAAAGTGAAGTGAAAGCTGAAGTTCACATATAATCGGTTACCTGAGCATGCGCAAATGAAAGAAGAGCTACTATAGAGCCTGAGCCCAACAACATGGCATGTAACATTCCTCGACCCCGAATTCTAGTGCTTAAATATTCGGAAATTGAAATTCAACTCGGCGATCAACTCAAAACAGCGTCTGTTTCTATCTATTGTTATCGTGTAGAAATACCAGATTAGTATTTGGTCTTTTTTTGAATAAATACTTCTCATTATTTTAATCCATGTGACTGGGGTAGAAAGATCATTCCGAGTGAGGGAGTGTAAAGTTTCAACTTCAATGGCTTTCATTAATTCCACTCCACCGTTTTATTTCTGATTTACGGTCACATCGGTTGCGAAATTCAGGTCTTTCAGTGGGCTTAGCTTCAATTTACCATCGGCAAATTTTAAACAGCTTGAGCAGTTACCGAACAGGCTCAGGGCAGCATCCATGACGTGATTAAGTACACATATCCTTACAATATATAAAGCGCTCTGTCTGCCTGTTTGTTTGTTTGTTTGTTTGTTTGTACGGAAATTCGATATCACCTGAAGAAACACTTGCAGAAGTCGAGTCAAGTTTGGAATGGGTTGAGCATAGGGTAAGTGCAATAGAGCACATATGAGCCTAGCGGAGCTCCGCTTCCAAGGGGCGGGGCATGCGCCTGAATTGGACGGGGTCATGGGCTAATTCTTCTTATTCGGTCTCGTGATGAATACGGTGTATCACCCCTATGACTCAGCGTTCCAATGCTTTCTGCAAGAAGATCGTGAAACTGTCCAAAATTGAGTGTGCACCATAGCTCGTTACATGAAGGAAAGGAGCTCGACACAAACAGCACAGTGCAACTTTCATTTGTTCATTGATGACCGACGATTTGTATGCTGATGATATGGTGATTGCAGACTAGACTCATTCAGTTAATCTCTATCTTGGTAAACCGTAATCATCCAGTGATATGTCGACCACTTCTTTCTCGTGTCCACTGACGCATCACGTTCATAATCAAGCAAGCATACATAGCTTGGTCTACCTTAAAGCCTTGAATTATAGTTAGGGATGATGACATGTGATTACAACAATCAAAGATTGAAACCTTTATGATTCTGTTTATAATTACATACAATATATGAACTTATTTGTATATCTGTTGTACTCAAGAATACCAAAGGCAGCTTTCAGGAGCCAGTATCTTGGACTTACATCTCTAGAAACGCGACGCAGCGTTTTCGATCTTTGTATGGTTCACAAAATTGTACACGGCAAGTGTGGTCACGGTTCCAATGTTTTTAAGCTGACACATTCAAGGACTAGGGGTGGCTGCATGAAAATTTCTTTGGCACGTCCTAAAACGAACTTGCGAGCGAGTAGCTTTACCTTCAGGGCTGGCACTGATTATCTAAGAGTGGTGAAAAATATGTGTATCTGTCTCGACATCGCTAGCGCAGTTCAAACGCCAAGTAGTTAAGTTGCCGATGAAGGGAACTGGTCCTAACGTTTCCTGAGACCCATTATTTAACTAATTTATCTTTGTATTGCGTATGTTCGTTATTTACTTGCGTTTTGATTTCTTTCTCACATTTGCCTTCCGCAGGCATGATAAACTTATAACTTATAAGTGCAAATCGAGAACCCCAGATTATTTGGGGTAGGACGAGTTTTGTCACAGCTGATATCAGAACAAAGAAAAAATATCAAACTCCTATTGAGTCGCCTAAGACGACAACCAATCACACCGTGATTTGTACAGAGTGATGGTAGGGATTATAACGGATCACATGAATATTAAACAGAATTTATTGTGTTCGTCTTTGGTACGTTCTTCTCGATGCTCTTGGCTCTTCACTATTATTGTTGAACTTCGAGCTTATAAACCCTTTTTCAGACCCCAATTTTACAATATAGTGCTGCTTACAATCAATTAG